AATGCTGAGACCAGGACTGAATATAAAAAATACCCAGATCAGAAACCCAGAAGACATGAGGAGGACCTGACATCCCATGCGTCTTGTCCTGCATGTCATCACAAGGAATCCTACCAGACAGCTTGGACAAGCACAGCTTGGTACTTTTGAGTACGTGGTTATGAATCCAATGAGTGAAACTGGCTCAGGTTTAATGAAAATCACTTTCTCCTATGAGGTCTGGCACCCAGTTTTGGTACTGTTACTGTAATGTTGCAGCATTGTTTTGCTACTTTGAAGAGCTACAGATGCTCTCTTTTCTGAGGGCACCCAGGCAGGACATTTGTGCAGAGGCTCAGCAACTCAGCTGTTTGGCAACACTTCCCCGGAGGCCATCACACCTCTGAGGACAGCCCCGAGTTTACCGATAGGACGGAGGACAGGAGCAGGATCTCCAGAGAAAGTGCTCCATTTCTCCTTTCCAGGGGCTGTGCTTGGATTTGCAACGACTTCCCGGCAGTCACTTGTGTAGAGCATGACCTGGCCTGATGCCACAAGCGCCTTGTTGCCAGCTGGGTGCTTCTCAAGCTACAGCTGATGATTGTGGTGACTTAGGACAGCTGGAACCAACTGTATCCACTGGCACGGACAGTGCGTTGTGCTGCTGTTCAGGACTGCTGTCTGCCATGCTGGGTTAACCAGGTATCTTAGGTTACACCAAGAGGAACAACTTGAAATAGGAGACTCTGGATGCTGTGGAAATGCCAGTTGTGAAATGAGCGCAGTTACGAAGCAGCATGTTTTCATGCTTCCTTTTTCTGTTTACTCCAAATACATCAAAACAAGTGCATAAGCCATAAGTCAATATAGATATAGTGGTGAAATGCCAGATAATTATTGTAGCTACCCAAATATCTGGGCATATGAATAATACGATAGCAAAATGTAGAGATTACCTTACCTAATTTAATTACGCAATGTTTAGGAGCACTCTACTTCATCTACATGGCAAGGTAATCAACCCGCAATTTAACTGTAAGACTCATCTTTTTCATGGTCAGAAATGCCTTTCTGTTTATGCCCTCTTGCAGAAAAAACAGTAAAGCTCCAATTCAGATCCTTCCCTTTCATCTATGTGGAGAATGTCTGACAGCTTGTTCTTTGCTGTAACAATTATTAACTTTCTCTACTGTTCAAAGTGAGAGATTTGATTTTACTGAATAAAAGAACTCTAACTAGTTCTAGGAATCGGGAACATTAAAGACATTTTGACAGTAAGTGGCCAAAATCAAAATGTGGCTTCTAATGTGACTAAAAGACAGCCATGATAAGGCTGCTGGAATCCTAAATGAGGAGAGTGATTCAAGCTAACCAGCACTCCAGGCGCATCAGCATAAACCTACTTTTCTCAACAGACCAGACACACATCCACACTCCTGTCTGTTACAACGAAATATCAATCCTCCTGTTTGAAGCAATAATGAGAGACAAAATTAAATAGCTCACTAGGTTTTGATGGCAACTGCACAGCCCTTCCACAGATCAAAGTTCAGCCCTGTTGTCAACAGATTTCAACTTAAGATCTGTAAGTTATTCTGTATAAAGCAGGTGCCAAAACTTCACTGCCAACCAGTAGAGACTGTGTCTCTCCTGTACAAGCAGAGAGGAGCATGGATAATGCGCTCTCATACAAGGCAAATACACATCACTAAGAATCAGTACAGAGCCAGGTCTGAGATCCTGGCCTGCAGCAGACTGGACTTATCAAAGTTTTGCTGATGCATTGCGCATACCTGGAGAGGGCTTGGCCTCCTGGCCAGTAAATTGCCCAGAACGGGTCCCCATAAGGCCACAGGTCAGGTTTTTCCCTCCAGAACCTGCAGCGAGGGGTGAGGAGGCGCAGTCGTATCTCTGGCGTGAGATGCCCACTGCTGGTGACCTCCGTGTTCTCCTCCAAAAACGCTCTCACCTCAGGGTCCAGAGACTTGCCGGCGCTCCAATGGCAGCAGCGCTTCCAGCGCTGAGTGAGGCCTCCCCTCCTGCTCCTCCAAGTTTTGGCAAAGGTGTTCTGCTTGCCCAAGAGGAGAAGCCGCTTCCAGCCGCGGAAGGCCATGTCTCCCCAAGGACAAACCCTCCCCAGGAGAGCTCAGAGCACAGCTTATCTGAAGCAGGTGATAATGCAGAAAGCTTGAAACAAACTCATAGGATGTTGTATTTCATAGCGATGGATGACAATTCCTAAAAGGAGAACAATGCTACGTAAGTGATGTTTCTTCAGTGACTTCAAGGCTATGCACCACCAGGGCTTTAGGAAGAGGTGGTTGACGTGCTGTTGTGTGACCATGAATGCGTGCCTTGCCACTGCCCAAAGAGCCTTTGAGGTCTGAAAGAAGTGGTATTTAAGGAAGAAGCTATCAAGAGACCCATTCAGGAGAGTGCTATAAACATACTCAGTGAGAAACAACCAGTTAGCAGGACAGCTGATAGAGCTAAAAATTAAATGTGCAGCCTTTTAACGTCTCCCTCCCTCTACCTTGAAGATATACACACAGCAAGCTACTCCCTTTCAAGGTTCTTCATTGATTCTTAATTTTGCAGGAGGACTCTGGCATTGCAGGACCTATGAGCATAGCAAAGGTTATCAGTAGCTTGGTTGAGAGATGCCGTTAATTACAAGTTTTATAATGGGTATGAGTCTTTTATTTGAAAGCGTCTTTTTAAAGTCAAGCAATTAAGGATTTCCTCAAAATACTTTCCTCTTTCTCCCTCTGATTTGTCAGGCTGACAGCTCCAAAATGAAGAAAAAAAAAAAAATCCCCAAGAACTGATCTGAATCAGAATACTCCCAATTTGTTGCATTTCAGTCTGTATTTTAAAGAATCCATTAGTCTTATGGTGCAATAGTCTCACGTGGATGCTCTCAGCTGTAGAAGTAGATCTCTATCCCTGTAGCCCACTCCCTATGAGAAACGTGCTCCAAGCTGTCTAGAGAGAAACTGAATCCAACATGTCTTAAAAAATTAAGTTTTTAAAAGGTGAGACAGTTCAGACTGGATGAGCTCACACTCAAAGGCCTTCTGACACCACTCAAGGCCAGTTTTCAGGTCAGAAGCAGTGAAGAAACAGAGAATGGAAGATTGGTATGTCGGTTTAGACTCACTTAAGAATCAGGAGAATGGAAGCCACAGCACTCATCAGAGAAGGGAATGAAGAAGAGCCTCTCGGCGCTTCATCACCATATGCTCCTCATCCACCATCTCTTGCAGACCCTAAGTCCTTCTTACACTGATCCTGTGAGTATCCTTACCAAGCAGTGGCCTTGAAGAGACAGCAACTGTTTTCCCCACTTCCTGCTCAGAACTCCTCCTTTATCCATCCTTTACTATTGCCGTTATCTTTTTTTCCTTCTTCATCTTGCGCTCTAATTTCTTTCAGTAACTCAGACTTACTTACTTCAAGGTACAGCTTTTGAACCTCCCCCTAAGCTGATGGCCAGAGAAGCATTTAAGGCCTGTGCTTCCACAACAGCAAGACTGCAAGTATGAACAGACGCAAGAGAAACTGTGCTCTCTATTTTGCGATTGTTTTTTCTCTTCTGCAGTGGAGAAGAGAGAAAACATGCTTTCTTCATGAAAAAGCAGAACGATGCATGAAGAAAATCAACTACAGCCCATCCCTGCCAATTTTTCACAACAGAAGAACTGTGGCCAGCTTTGCCATCTAGAGCTGTGCAGGTTGTCCTTAAAAAAACACTAGGGAAAGGGACAACAGGAAAAAAAATGCTAATAAAGCCTTAACACTTCATATTTTATTACTTCAGTTTTTCTTTATTTGTCTGTTTCTTTAGTAAAATTTTATATGTGTCTAGTGGTGTTTTTATTGTGTCCTGGCCTTTGCTTTAGGCACTGAGTTTAGTTTGATCGCTCACCAAAACGTTAAGCTGTGAACTTCCCTCTACTTCGCTATTTAGGCTGATAGCCCTCTTAAGTCTTTGTTTAAATGATTTAGTAAAGGCTTTGGGTTTTTATTACAAATAAATACATGTGTCTGAACGTTTTGCATTTTTCCACATTTGAGAATGCCATTCACGAGAGTCTGTGTAATTAATGGATGCAATTAACAAATGCCTGCCTTCCTGAAGGCAGAGCTCTATAATCCCCATCTGCTCAAGGGAAGCATGAAGTTAACCGAAATCAATCAGAGGTACAAATCGTGTCAGCTAGGCCGTATGCTGGTTTTTCCCCATGAATCGCTGCAAATTAGCAGGGCTGAGGTTCGGTAGCGTGTATTTGGCATCGCCTGTCATCCTGGTTACTCTTTTTAGATTAATTATCCGTAGAGAAATATCTGCCGAGAGCTCTGCGCTCAAAATGCCAAACCGAGCTTAAGAGTTTAGTGCAGGATGGTGTCAGGAGAGACACCCTTGTGTTTGAGACGCCTGGCCTTCCCACCTGACTGGCAATAAACGCAGCGGGCGAGTAGAACTTGGAAGGGGGGACAAAACCAAAACCAAGCAAAATCAAAATCCACCAAAAAAACCAATCAAACAACAAAACCCCAAAAAACAGTTCGTAGCTCGCTGTTACCCACACCTGCGACCACGAACCGCCCGCACCCCGGGGGGAGCCACCGGAAC